GAGATGAGTTGGAATAAATAGCTGGAAATTCAGAAGTGATCTTTTCAGCCTAAGAAGAAATGAAATCAATTGAACTGGTTATGCTCACCTCTACCAAGTTATGTTGTTAGCTGTAGTTTGAAAAGAGGTCTAGAGCCTTGAACATGAGAGAAGTAACCCAACTCACTTTTAGGAAAGTAATGTTAAAGTACAGAGGGAAGTTACCAATTTGGAATCTTTGCATATGCTTCTCCATCTCACCACATTCCAAGAAAGAATTCCTGGTCATTATGGGTTCTGTTCCAGGGAGCCCTGAGGGGCGCAGAAAAAGCCATCAATTAGTGTTTTGTAACATCGGCTGATAATGCTGCTCCTTCATGAGCTCCACTCCAGATGGCCAGGCCCAGTTCATCCAGACTGAGGTATAAGATAACCGATGTATTTAATTTAACAACTGACAATTAGTGAGCGCCTACCCTGTGTCAGGTACTGAGGTAAGACAACTGACAGGCTTTTTTCACCTCCCCTTCTAAGGACTAGTATTAAGAAATGCCTGCCTAATTCGCCAGGGTGATTAGGTCTGGGGATTTGAGTTTGTGGGCTTTCCCCTGGAAGCTCCTCATCTATTTTTCCTTCCCCAGTAGAGATCACTTAGAAGAAGTGGCCATCACCGTACAATTGTAGCTGTCAGGGACTTTGGTATTTATTCCATCTGTCTCCTTACAGAGTCTGTGAGAAATAGAGGGAAAAAATGAGCATTTAACCCCCTTTGCAGTACTGTTGCTTATTTGCCACTTAAAAATGAAATCTAAGAAAATTAAATAGTCACTCTCAAAAGAATAAAATATATTAATGGATAAATATCTCTCTTGTCCTAGAATTGGTAGGAATTACGCAGGGACTTCTAAGAGTTAAATAATAGACAAGATCATAAAGAGAAAGGTGAATAATTTTAACTATGTAAAAGTGAAAAATGTATATCATAGGTGCCATAAAAAAATCTAAAAGGTAAATGACAAACTAGGAAAAATGGCAAAGGGTTGATAACTTTATAACATGAAAACATTTAGAAAACAATAAGAAAAGGATGAAGAGCCTGTATAAAAATGGGCAAAACATATGAACAAATCACTAATGAAGAAATACAAATGATCAATAAATTTTTTATTGCTAGTGAAAATGAAAATTAAATATACATTATTTTTTCTCCTATTACATTGGCCAAGATGGAAAAAGAGAGTACCCTTCGTTTTTAAGGTTGAGGTGAAATAAGCATTCTTTTTAAAAAAATTGAGATATATTTCATATATCATAAAATTCATCCTTTTCAAATTCAGTGAATTTTAGTATATTTACAAGTTGTACAACTATTACTACTATCTAATTCCAGAACATTTTTATCATCCCCCAAAGAAATCTCATACCCATTGCTTCTTGAACTTTTGGCTGAGATCAAGTGTAGAAATCTCATACCCATTAGCAATTACTCCCCATATTACCCTTTCCCTGGCCCCTGGCAACCACTAATCTACTCTTGTCACTATGGATTTGCCTATTCCGAATATTTCACATAAATGGAATCATACAATATGTAGCCTTTTGTGTCTGTCTTCTTTCAATTAACATAATATTTTCAAGGCTCATCTAAGCTGCAGCATGTATCAGTACTTCATTCCTTTTTATGTATAAATAATATTGCATTATATGAATGATATCATATTTTCTTTATCAGTTGATAGACAGTTGGGTTGTTTGTCCATTTTTTGGCCATTATGAATAATGCTGTCATGGACATTTATGTACAAAGTTTTGTGTGAAGAGATGTTTTAAATTTTCTTGGGTATATATTTGGGAGTAGAATTGTTGGGTTATATGGTAACTCTATATTTAACTTCTTGAGGAACTGCAGATTGTTTTCCAAAATGGCTACACCATCTTACATTCTCACCAGCAATGTATGAGGGTTCCAATTGCTCCACATTCTTGCCAACACTTGTTATTGTCTGCCTTTTTTAATTATAGCCATCCTAGTGGATGTAAAGTAGTTATCTCCTTATGGTTTTGATTTGCATTTCCCTAAGGACTAATTATGTTGACCTTCTAGTTTTGATTTGCATTTCCCTGAGGACTAGTCAACATAATTAGTCCTCAGGGAAATAACCCAATAATAATTAGGGTTATGATACATATGATTTATAAATTTTGATTTCTAAATTTGTAAATATTCCTCCCATTCTGTGGGTTGTCTTTTTAGTTTCTTCATAATTCCTTTCATGCACAAAAGTTTTTAATTTTGATGATGTCTAAGTAACTATTTTTTTCTTTTGTTGCTTGTGCTTTTAATATCATATATAAGACTCCATTGTCAAATCTAAGATCATAAAGATTTACCCCTATATTTTCTTCTAAGATTTTTATGATTTTAGCTCTCATATTTAGGTCATTGATCCATTTTGATTAATTTTAAATATGGTGTGAGATAAATGTCCAACTTGGTTTTGTGGGTTAGTTTTCTGTTTTTTGTTTGTTTTTAGTATGTAGAAATCCAGTTCTTTAATCATTTGTTAAAGAAACTGTACTTTCCCTATTGAATAGACTTGATACCCTTGCCAAACAGTTGGCCATAGATGTATGGGTTTATTTCTGATCTCTCCGTACTATTCCAGTGGCCTAAGTGTATGTCTTTATGCCAGTGCCACACTGTTTTGATTACTATAGCTTTTAGCAAATTTTAAAATCAAAAAGAGTAAGTCCTTCAATTTTGTTCTTGTTTTTCAAGATTTTTTTTGGATATTCTGGATTCCTTATAATTCCATATGAATTTAAGGATTGGCTCTTCCATTTATTCAAAAAGGTTTTCATAGGATTGTATTGAATCTGTAGATTGCTCTGGGTAGTATTGACATCTTAACCTTAACAACAAGTCTTCCTATCCATGATTACAGGATGTCTTTCTATTTATTTAAGTTTTTAATTTCTTAAAGCAATATTTTTTAGTTTTCAGTACATAAGTCTTTTATCTCCTTTGTTAAATTTATTCCTGGGTATCTCATTCTTTTGGATGCTATTATAAATATAATTGTTTCCTTAATTTCCTTTTTGGACTGTTCATTGCTGGTGTATAGAGACACTGATTTTTATGTGTTGATCTTATACTTCATAACTTAGCTAAATTTGTTTTTTGCTCTAATAGGGTTTTTTTGTGGGGGGAGGGTGGATTCTTTGGGATTTTCTATATATATAGGATCATGTCATTATGAATAGAGATAGTTTTACTTCTTCCTTTCCAATATGGATACCTTTTATTTCATTTTCTTGCCTCATATATCAGGCTACAACTTCTAGTACAGTGTTGAATAACATTGGTGAAAAAGGGCATCCTTTTCTTGTTGCTGATGTTTGGGAGAAAGCTTTCATTCTTTCACCATCAAATATGATGTTAGTGGGGTTTTTTCATAAATATAATTTGTCATGTTGAGGAATTTCATTTCTGTTCCTAGTTTTCTCAGTGTTTTTATCATGAAAGGGTGAAGGATTTTGTCAAATGCTTTTTCAGCATGAATTGTGATGATCATGTGGGTTTTGTTTTTTTTTTTTACTTTTTCTGTTAATGTGATATGTTGGCATTGATTGATTTTCTAATGTTGAACACCTTTGTATTCCTGAGATAAATCACACTTGGTCATGGTGTATAATTCTTTTAATATGCTGTTGAATCTGGTTTGCTAGTATTTTGTTGAAGGTTTTTGCATCCACGAACTTCCCAAACTACCCTGCCCAGGGCTACACTTTGGTTATTACTTCTTTTGATATTTGTTATTGCTGAACTCCTTTCTACCCAAAATATTCTTGGCTTCTGAGGCAGTATGCTCTCCTGGTTTTTCTCATTTCTAGGCATTCCACCATCTACATTGGAGAGTTTTGCTCTGCTTATCCTTTAAGTGTTAGTGTTTCTCTGGGATCCTTCTGAGCCTTTAAAGGAGTGATCCTATCCACACTCAAACATTTATATGCTGGCAACTCCCAAGTCAATGTCCCTGGATGAGGCCACTCCTCTGATCTGCATATGGAGCCACCTCTTGAACATCTCCTTTGCATTGTCCCATGGGCAGCCCAATATCCACCACAACTCAAAAGTCTTTCACGTTTGGGCCTCTGTTTACCTTTCCGGAGACTCTTGTTCAGGGCTATTTCAATCTTAAGGAAAGAATGCTTTGCATTCAGTTCAAATCTGGGTTGTGTTGGTTTATACCTTCCTTAGCTTTTTCCTTATCTCTATTGCCTTGTTTATAAAGTGGGCATGATAATCTCTGGTGTTAGGATTAATGAAAATGTATGTAAAGGTCTTGATCCATATTAAGTTTTAAATAAACAGCTATTTAGTGATAGTATTGGTCAGACATGAGGGGATACCGTGCAAGGGGATCAAAAGTAATACCACAGTGACCACTGTTTCTACTGACACTGATTTGTGCTTTCATCCAGTTTCCAGTTGAGGACTTGAGTTGCAGATATCAGATGAAAACCGGAGCCTTGCTCTAATAATCCTACTGGGTCCAACCTGGGGATTTATCTCTATAACAAAATATTTTTATTGTTTTAATAATTAAACCTCTTTTGGTTGGAGATCCAAATTGGATGTGATTCTGCTGTGTAGAAAACTATATTAATTAATATGTTTTTATACTCAAGGTGATCTCACTGATTTTCACTTAGATAATTGTGGTTTTCTATTCCCTCTTTGAGTTTTAAATCTTGGCTTTACCATTTATGGACGAGAATGGAAATCATTAAGAATCAGATTAGAAGTTGTTAAAGGAGAAAGCTTGGAAATCTCTGTATTTAAGTGCTTTTTAACAGTGCTTTGAAATGATTAGTTGCTTTGTGTTAAATATTGATGATACCATCAATAAAATATTAATACATCATTTTCATATTTAAAAATAGTAGATTCAATAATCAATTATTAAAGCTATTAATACCTGAAATCTTTCAATCAAAATCAAAGGAATTTTTAGTTTGAATTAGGCATTGGGATGGAAAATTTTCTGTTTTTAAAACTCCCGTTAAGCTTAAAAACTAGGTGCCTATCTTATGTGACTTCTTTGCTAAATTCACTTTAAAATGACTTAAAAATCACTGACTTTTTTTCCAAATCGTTTCTTCCTAATCCTTTAAAATAAGGAAAGAGTGCCCCCAACCTTGGGTGCAGTTACTGTATTCATTAAGTTTTAGTAACCCCATTCATTCATTTATTCATTCCTAAATTGTAAATGGAAGGAAAAAGTACGCATTCTGTAAGATCTACCTGAGCAGGTATGGCCTGATGAAGGGAATGGTTTGAAATGCCGGTTTTCACGTCACAAGACCTTCCGGCGTTTGAGGAGTTAAACACAGGTTGGCTTCAGTCCGGAGCCGCAGAACCGTGACCTCAGGAAGCCGCAGGGACCCCGGGGGCCGCGGACTTGCCCCCGGAGGTCGGGAAGCCGCCGGGCTCCGCCCGCGGGGGTGGCGCCGGCCCGGCTTCCCCCGCGAGCCCGCCTCCTGCGCCGGGCACCCCCGCGGCCTCCGCGGTAGTTTCTCCTGATGATGCAAACACTCACTTCCCGCACCCATTTCCCCACAGAAGCCGCCGAGCCGCGCGCCATGGGCAACATCCAGAAGAAGCTGACGGGCAAAGCCGAGGGCGGCAAGCGGCAGGCCAGGGGCGCGCCGCGGCGGGGCCGGGCGGCGAGCGCCGGCGCGGACAAGCGGGGCCGGCCGCGGGCCTCGGCGACGGCGGGCGGTGGCGCCAACGGGCACCCTGGCAGCGGGCGGGGCGCTGGGAACCCCCCAGTGCCGCCGCCCGGCGCCCCGGCCGGCCCTGCCAGCCTGAAGACCCAGGGCAACGAACTGTTCAAAAGCGGGCAGTTCGCCGAGGCGGCCGGCAAGTACTCGGCGGCGATAGCGCAGCTGGAGCCCGGAGGTAGGTGTGCTGCGCCCCGCGACGTCCCCAGGCCCCTCGGGCTGCGGCAGGTCACCGGACCTAAGGGGGCCCCCGCGGGAGAGTCACAAGCCGCCTTTTGAATGACAGGCATTGCATCTGTGCATTCCTCCCTGGTGATTAAGGGCGCTGTGTGACTTGACCTCCGTGAACAATACCTTGGAATGCGGAGCATGTGCCCGGCCTGGCGTGTTTGCATCTGTCCCTGAGGGCTTTCCCTCTGTGGCCATTGCGGGGATAGACAGCTCCTCGGAGCTCTGCGCGATCAGCAGTCGGTAGGACTGCAGTGCCACTGGAGACCTCAATCTTGCAATTCTGGTGAACTGTGATCTTGCTAATGGATTTTAACTGTATTTAATTAAATGTGATTTTAGGAAGTGAAAGTGCAGATGATCTAAGTATCTTATATTCAAATAGAGCAGCATGTTACCTAAAGGAAGGAAACTGCAGTGGCTGCATTCAAGATTGTAACAGGTAAACTGCACGTTTTCAGGTTTGTCAAGAGATTGTTATAATGTCATTGTGATGAATGCAACGTTCAATGTTCAATATCCTCCTAAATTTTCTGCATATGGGTCTAATTTCTTAAGACAGTTTTACAGTATGTTAATACTTACAAATAATTAATTCTCACACATATGAAGACAGTTATAGAACATTGTGCAAGCTTTTTTCATTTCCACTGCTACCACCCTAATTCATGCTCTTTTCATATCACTCCTAGACTACTGGAGAAGCCTGATAACTAGTTCCAATCCACTGTGGCATCAGAATAATGTTTCCTGAAGCATTATTTTGCTCAGATTGTCTCAAACAGGCCTTTAATGGCTCAGTATTGTCTTCCAGATAATTGTAAACTTCTCTGTCACCATGTTGCCCCCCAAACAAGTTTTTGCTCCCATTTTGTCCACTGGACCACTTCCTGACACTCGCCCTGTTCTCTGAGGCTTTGCCCTCATTGTCCCCAATGCCTGTAGTGCCCTCTGCACATCTTGGTGTCTGATATCCCTCCTCAGCTGACCCTCCTCTCTGCCTTCCTGAGCGCCCCAAGCTTCTTGGTCATCTCAGATCTGTAACACCTGAACTGACACTTGGTCACACCTGTAGGTCCTGTGTTATCCACTGCAGTAGATTTAAACTCCTTGAGGTCAGGAACCATGTCTTTTTTTTCTTTTCCTTTCTTTTTTAATTGACATATAATAATTGAACATATTTATGGGCTATATAATGGTGTTTTGACACATAATATTTAATGACTAGATCAGGGTAATTAGCATATCCATCGTCTTGGATATTTATCACTTCTTTGTGTTAGGACATTCAATATCCTTCTTTCAGCTATTCGAAACTATATTATTGTTAACTATAGAAATCATGTCTTATACAGCTTTCTACTCCTCGAAGCACAGTGGTTACCGATGATACTCAATAAATTACGTGTCTGGATGGATAAATATATTTACATAAATAAAACATAATTTTCTTTTACCATTAAGTATTAATAATAAGCCTGCTTCAGAAGCCTTTTGGCAAGAAGCTACATTTTTAGTACATTTTTTAGTACATCTAAAAAATAAGAAGTTATTCCTGGTTTGACTAACAGTCCAGATTTACTCCTGTTGCCTCATACAATTGTTAATATTACCCCCTAGTTTGGACAGTAAATTATACGGACACTCTGTTTATAAGGTGAGCAATTTATTATTTATTTCATTGGCAGTATCAGTTTATTGATCTAGGTGAAGCTTGCTTGTATACGTGCCTACGGTTTAAAAAGAAGGCCTTGAAGCATTTGGATTTTTTGCCAATTTTACATATTCAAATATAAAATAAAAGTATGCAATATTTATATTTTCTTTGGCCTGACTTTAGACCCTGTTCATGGTTATGCTGGCTCCCACTAGCTAGCTGTTACATTTTCAAGATTCTGGTTGATGTCAAGTTGATAGCTTGAAATCTGACATGGTAGGATACCATTTAATACCATGAAAACCGGCAAATGCCACAAATCTGGGCTTTTTTCCTTTCCCAGAAAATTCTTAAACATACTTACCACTGCTCATAATGAACTGAGAAGACCATGCGAATTTGTTGGCTACTAGGCACGTGGTGATTTGCAGCCAACATCCTTTCAGCCAAGTGTCTGTTTCTAATATTTACTACATTGCCCTAGGATTTGTCTTAGGCCATCCCCACAGTGAGTGAGGTTAAAACTCTAGTTAAAATTCAGACGCCTACAGTCAGGGCTGCTGCAAAACAATGGATTCACTTTGTCCTTAAGTGACAGGGCATGGACATTTACTGGTTAAAATCGCTATTTAAGGTAGACCCAGGAGGAAGTCAAGGATGGGACTCCGGCCATGGTGTCCCCGGAGTCCAGAATGGGGGGTTGTCCTGAGGGAAAGCAGGAGATGGCCTGCCAGTGAGGGAGGTGGGTGTCAATTTGGGTAGCTTGTCCTTAAATAAGAGCTGTGTTCTAGGCCAAGGAATCTGGCTGTGCTGGTCAGTGCTGACCGCCATAGAGACCGACCTACTTAGATGTTTTTTTTGATAGCTGGCCTATGAGTCCCAGCACAGGGCGTGGAGGTAATGCCCAATAGAGGGCGATTTTACTCTAAAGCGGTGATTCTCAAACTTGTTTTAAAGCCAGAGAAGCCATAATGTGCTTTTGTGAACCTATTGAAATATGGATGTATTTAAATCTATATGAACTAGGAATAATGTATTAGCAGAAAATATGACTATGTTTTCTCTTTCACCTCAAAAAGATTGCATACACGTTAAAGGAGGCTTAATCTTTAGTTGTTCTGTTAATTATCTTTGCTCTTTGGGAAGTTCCATGAGCTCTTACAACCAGACAAGTGGTATCAGTAGTCAAACATTGAAAAAGAAAAACTCATGGGGGCAAAATTTAAAATGAAGAAAAGGAAAGAAACTTCTACCTATGAAAATAATTTTTTATGTATTTTGGGGAGAAACTACTATTTGATTTTAAATGGCTAACCTCTAAGGAGTGTGGGTGTTTCCCAGGGGTGTGTTTGGATAGTGGCCCTTGGGCGAGTAGGGGACCTTTGAGGAGCTGGGGCGCGGGGAAAGCACTTCCGCTGTCCTCACCACAGCATCTGCATAGCTCTCTTTAGGCCTGCGGGTGAAACATGAGCAAAAGTTTGAAAGCCATTATTCTAGAAATTAATTTTGTCCTTATAATTGTTTATCAGCTAAAAAAATAGCTTCGCTTTTCCTAACTGTCAGAGAACCTTTTTGGTTTATTTAGACCACACCAAAAAATCTTTGGGTGACTTTCCATTGAAGACATTTTGACAGACTAAAGACAAATGAATGTTACCCTAGTAATTCTTCACTTTTTTGCTTATCTTTCCTACTTTCTGACAGACTTGAAACTAGAAGACTCTTTAGGGTTTTAACTGTGTTAACTTGAATGGACAGCCTCTTTCATAAACTCTGGTTTAAAAGTTTTTTGGGCTTATTTGTTTTTATGAATGGGTGGGCTTTTTCCTTAACGGAATCTCCATTCAAAAGCTCATATTCATTTTCAGGATTGTGGTTAAAGGAAAAAACAAAAAATCAAAACAAAACAAAACCTTGCATTTGCTAGGCTAGAAAGTACTAAAAATTAAATGCATCATCTCATCAGTTTTAGATCCCAAGCTTGGCTCAGGGCCATCTCGATTGGATAAATGGCACCTGGAGTGTTGGAAGTCCCCTGTGAAGTGAAGGGAGTCATGTGGTTGTGAGAGGGACACATTTACAATCTCTGTCATGGAGTTAATATCCCCTGAGCATTAAACTAAGCTAGATTTAAGGCAGTGGTGCAGGTGACAGATCCTGAGGCCCTAAGATCTATTGGGTGTAGTATTTAAGTATGTTTACTTGATTTTAATTTCATTTTTAAAATAACTTTTACTAATTACAAAAGTAACACATACCTGTTATAGAAAACTTAAAAAAATCAGCACAATACAGAGAATGTCATTTAAATCACTCACATCCTAATACTTAGGCAGAGCAAAACTATTTTTCAGAGAAATGAATCTAATTAGTTTTAATAGCATTTTTACAGTTGATCTTAGCAAAAGGCTGAGAAGTGATGGGTTTAATAGCATTTTTAATTTTACGGGACAAAGTCCAGAAGGGCTCCCACAAGTACAGTTGAGTATCTGTATGACGTGGAGAGTTGTGGAGGAGTCTGAGTGCAGATGACTCAGAGTTCCTTCATTTGCAGTGTTTGTGTGTGTGTGTAGGAGGAAGAGAGTAGGCTCGGAGGGTTCACTCAGGAGTTTGCTGAGTGCCTTTTATGGCCTAGATGTTGATCTAGGCCTGGGAATATCATGCTCAGGACTGGCGGTGCACTCGCCTTCGTGACGATCACATTCTAAAGAACGGACATGTGGGCGCATCACACCCTGTGTCTCTCAATTTCCTCACCTGCATAATGAACATACTAATATTTACCTTACAGGTGTGTTGTAAGATCAGATGAGAAAGTCTACAGTGTCTAGCACGTGGCAGATACCCTATCAGTGCTTCTTCCTTACCAAATAATTATAGACAGGAATAGACAGCAGATTTCTGAGACTACTGGGAAAAAAACAAGTTAAACAAAGCAGCTCTTGCTTGCTCATGCTTTCCCTGAGGCAAGGGAAGCATTAAATATTTAATATATAAAATTGCTTATATCATGAGTTATCACAAAGAACAAACCTGTAATCTCCAGAGTAAACAGTCTAGTGCAGATGCCGGTGAGTAGATTGTGTAGAAAGTAGGCTCTTCATAGGACTTCTGCATGAAAGACTTCTTTACAGCTTCAGGTGATTTTGTTAAAACCAGCATTATGATAGTTTTCAGTCATAAATACAGATGGTCCCCAACTTACGACTTCTTGACTTTACAATGGTGTAAAAGTGACAACCACTAGGTTTCAGTCTTAAGCACTGGTGATTCTTTGACCAGAGAGTCTCTGGGATGCCTTTTTGAATTATGATATTTTCAATTTATGATGGCTTTATCACGATGTAGCCACATTGTAAGTCGAGCATCGGTATGGTTTTTTGATTGTTTTATTTCAGAATGTAATGAAGTACATTAAATACTGAAATTGCTTTAAACAGTAACTTCAAACAAAACCAAAGAGCACAACCTTGAAATACATCTTTAGTGATATTGGAAACACTTCATAGACTAAAAAGTGCAAGATGAAATTGATGACTTATAAGAAATCATTGTATGTTTAGTTCCTTGATTTCCTTCTGGTCTATTTTTAAAGCCCTTGTGCAGCAAGTAAATCCTGATGAACTGTAGTAAGTTTTAGAGTGCTGATTTGAAAAATGTAATGCAAGTTTTCATGCTTCTATACTAAGGTGCCTTATTAAATATATAGGTGCAAATAAAAATTTCTCTTCCTTCCTTCCCCCCTCCCTCCCTTCCTTCCTTCCCTTTTTTTTTTTTTTTTGAGTTAGGATCTCGCTCTGTTGCCCAGGCTAGAGTGCAGTGGCATCATCGTAGCTCACTGCAGCTTCCAGCTACTGGGCTCAAGCGATCCTCCTGCTTCAGCGTCCCGAGTAGCTGGGACTATAGGTGTGCACCACCATGCCCAGCTAATTTTTTTTATTCTTTGTAGAGACAGGGTCTGAATATTGCCCAGGCTGGTCTCAAACTCCTGGGCTCAAGCAATCCTCCCATCTTGAGCTCTCAAAGTGCTAGGATTACAGGTGTGAGCTACCATGCCTGGCCAGAATTTTCTTTGTAATTTGTCAATAACAAGAATCTGTTCAAACCTTGTTCTGTGCCTGGTCCATGCTGGGCTCTTTCAGGACATTGTGTAGGCTGCCAGGGAGCTCACACCTCAGTGGAGAAAGAATAAATGCCAGGGTGCTTTGATACTGGTTTACAATAGAGTAACCAAATTTGATAACCCTGCTGCTCTGGGTTTCCCTTTCTGGTGTTTTGCTAGGTTCCCAAGATGAAACATCAGATAGGTACATATTTATGAGTCCAATACTGAAGTATATATTCAGTTAAGCATAAATTAGCGAATAGTTTGCAAAACAAATGATATGTAATTTTTTTTCTTCTTTAGAGCTCTGGAACTTCATCCATTCTCAATGAAACCTCTTTTGCGACGAGCAATGGCCTATGAGACTTTAGAGCAGTATGGGAAAGCTTACGTGGATTATAAAACAGTGCTGCAGATAGACCGTGGAGTCCAGCTGGCAAATGACAGTATTAACAGGTAATCTAATCTAGGCAGCTTCTTAAAGTCTAGTTGTTTTATGATGGAATTAAGTTTTTTTTCCCTTCCCCTCTTTCAAGAACATGTCAAAGTATAAACGTGTTCTCAGCTATTTACTTTACATGAATGATTGCCTTCTTTGACTCCACTAAACCAAGTGGTTCTTTCTCTCTAACTGAATTTCTCACTGTCCCTTAATACATTTTGAGTTGTTCTCTGGCACCTTTATATTTCTTTTCTGTATCATTTATTACCGTTAAGTGAATATTCTTTTTTTTTCTTAATGACACAGGTTATAGCTCATACGTGCTGCTTAAACATCTGTGGCGATAGGAAGGTGTTTTTGTTGATGTCATAAATCAGTACTAACTATAGGACAAGATCCAAAAATGTAGTGAAAACTGCCATGTTGAATCTTCTCCTCCCAAAGGGATTTACAAGTGTTCATTGGCACCACATCTGTCAGTGGAAACATCTCTATTGTTTCTCCTCAGGAGAATGGATGTCTTCATGAGCCTGCTAGATATTTGTGTTATATGCCCTTGTAAATAGACACTCATCTAGGATGAATATTAATTTATAATGGCGAAATAGCAAAGAATTTGGATCTAATTTATTTTGTGACCTGTTTACCCTCTGAGTGAGAATGGGAAGGTAAAAACTTTCAGACTTCCTAAATTGCTCTCAGGTGAAATTGGAAAATTACTAGTTATATAACATTTCTAGTTAGGTCTGATGTTTTCTGATCCCATTTGCCCAAAGTATAACTTCTGAAGTATTGATGTGTTACACTGTCCCCTGTGCCTGTCTAGCATACCATGTCCCCACTCCCCACCAAAAAAGACAAAAGGGGAAAAAATGACATGGTCTCTGTCTTTAAGCAAACTAGCATATAGCTGGGGGAAAACTTAATGTAAGACAGGTTGTCCCCAGCTGGGAAAATTGTTAGTAAGGTAGGGGGGATCACAGGAGGGTCAGGCCACCTTTGTCTGTGTGGGCTGGAGTGGTCGCAGAGGGAGCACTTGAGGTGGTCTTTGAAGGGCACTGATAGAACATGAGACCTTGAGCAAAATTGTAGAAAATGAAAATGGCATGTTTCGCATTAATTTATTTTTTTAAATCATGCCTTACCTTCCCACATGGTCCCAGCCCACTTTGGAGAAAACTGTTGGAAAGACCTGTAGGCAGAGCAGACAGCCATTCCCTGGAGCTTCTACTTGGTGGCTACACAGAACCTGTCTGATCCCAGCCTGATAAAAGAAAGGGATAAATATCTGATATTTGTGGCAGAGTGGGACGAGACAGAACCTCAGGCATCTGCCACCTCCTTGAGTTTATAAAATCAGGCCACCTCCCTGGTGCTGCATGGCCGCCTCACTGTGTGTCATCTGCTGCCTCCTTGTATGTGCCTGCAGGCCTTTCCCCTTTTTGTGTGGTTAATTCCTTCTCATCCTTTAGGAGAGGACTTGCTTCCTCTAGGAAATGACTTTCCCTGACCCGCTGTCTTTCTCCACCCCCCACACACCTTAGTTCCCTTACTAACACTTCCATATTACCCAACTTCCATATTGTTTTTACATTCTCTATCTCTCCTGTTTTGTAAAATTCTATTCCTGTCACTCTAGTGGATGTTCCTTGAGGTCAGAAATTGTGTTTTATCCATCTTTGTAGCTGCAGTGCCTCGTACAGAATATAGCCTCACTAAAAATGTGTTGGATGTGTGCATTGTCCAACAGAGAAAGCATAGTTTAGTCCTGTGCTTTGAGGCTTTGCTTTTAATTTGCCCCGTCCTCTGCCTGGTAATTTTCAAGGTACAGTTGGAGAAAGTAGGATCTTCTCACAGGGGTAGAAGTTCATGTGAAACATAAAGTATTAATAGAAAAACATGTGAAGTATGTGGCAGAGAAGAGGGGCCTGATTAAAGAGTATTTTAAAAATCTAATTAGTAGTAGGCCGAGTGGTTTAAAGGGAGAAATGTGTCTGAGAGATCATGATTACTCACATTCTAAACATTTTGCATTATACTTTTTAAAAAAATTAAGGTAGATTTCATGTAACAAAACTAACTATTAATACTTTAAAGTGTGCATACAGTGGCATTAGCACTCACAGTGTTGTGCAATCATCACTTCTTTCTAGCTCCAAAACATTTCCAGCACCCTGAAAGGAAACCCGGTACCCATTAAGCAGTCACTTTTCATTCTCCCTTCCCCCAGCCCTTGGCAGCCACCAGCCTGCTTTCTGTTTCTGTGGATTTATCTATTTTGGATATTTCATATCAGTGGAATCATACAATATATGACCTGTTTTGCCTGGCTTCTTTCACTTAATGCTTTCAAGGTTCATGGTTCATCCATGATGTAGTATGTATCAGCACTTCATTTCTTTTTGGCTGAATAATCGATTTTGTGTATGTATATGTCACATCTTGTTTATCCATTCATCAGTTGATGGACATTTGGGTTGTTTCTACCTGTTGGCTATTGTGAATAGTGCTGCTATGAAGAGTTGTGTACAAGTTTGTGTTTGAGTCCCTGTTTTCAGTTCTTCTGGGTGAATACCTAGGAGTGGAATTGCTGGGTCATATGGTAATTCTGTGTTTAAATTTTTGAGGATTGTATTATATTTTTATATGTACTCAGGAAGGTTCTTTTATATCAATTGACTTTTAAGACTCAGTCATTTTTTAATTCAATGGTTCTTGTTGCTATCTTGTTGATGAGAGGAGGCTCTGTCTGGTTTTGCCATAAATATTTTTAAATAAAATATCCATTTTCTAAAACTTCTCTATTCCTTTTTGTGAATCCCATATTTATGCTTGCTTTTCCATCTATTCCAATTCATTATGGAAAATTAAGCAGCAGCAGCTTACTTATTTATTTATTTTAATTTAAACATCTGTGCTTATTTTGTTTCTGTCTTCCATTAACCATATTCCTCTCTTCCTCTCCAGGAATCTTACATGTTAAATTTCTCTGCACATACTTATTTACTCCCTGGCAACACATCATCTCTTTTCAGCTGCTTCTTCCTTCCTCTCTGCTGGTAATACAAGTTTTGCTTGAAAATTCTTTTTTCTAAAGCTTCTTTTTCTTCTGCAAATGTGGGTTGTTACACATTAATTTTACAAAAATTTATTTTTTACACTAAAACATGAGATTTAGTTATAACCAAAGATTGCTATTGAAATTTCAGTTTAAGAAACTGTAGGGAGAGTATGTGTATTATATTCGTCTATATATAAATATAAACATTTTTTTATACAAAAAGCATATGAGACTACAGAGTTAACTAACTTTGAATGTATTCTACTAATTACCAGTAAACCTTCTCAGTCTTGGGAGAATCTTTTAAAACTAGATTTCATCCCAAAGATGTAATTCAATTTTGTTTTTAAATTTAAGTTTGACATTTTTGTATATTTAAATTAATGAGAAAGTGATAATTGAGGATGTTAATCTGAATTTTATAATGGCCATTAGTAAATGTCATTAATTTAAGGTGCGTTGTAGTAGAGTCTAGTATCCTATTTTTTTCATCTTTATTCATATGAAAAGGATATAAGTGGATAATTTTAGAGGTGAAAAAAATGCAAGGTAAGAAAGAGTATCTTAACCACATGTAAATGTTTTAAGAAAAAGTAATATTCTAGGACAGCACTCATTTGTTTTAGCAACCAGTTTTAAACACCTGTTTTCAACCACTTTAGCGTATAGTTTGGGCACAGAAATTCTAAAGTACTTCTGATTATTTTCAAGAGTAATACATCATCAGTTTAGTAATTATATTAAATATTACAGGGGGCATTTCTTCTAAGCCTCCAAAATTTTAGTTTTATATTTTGCTTTCTCAAAAATTAAAAATTTTTTAACAAATTAAAAATATCTCATTTTTTTCTTTGGTCTAAAAAAATATTCTAAGTTACATTATTTATGGCAACTTTTAAAAGTCCTTTTGAAAACATTTAGTTTACATGGACAGAAAATAGCTCAAGATTGTGTGTTCCTACAAGGAAGTACACATATGCATAGCATTTGTAAATCTTACTCTTGATCTGACTTTCAGTAACATAAAAAACAAATTGCATGATCAATAGAGAAAACTCATTTTTTCTTTAGAATAACAAGAATTTTAATGGAGCTGGATGGACCAAATTGGCGGGAGAAACTGTCACCCATTCCTGCTGTGCCCACTTCTGCGCCACTGGGAGCTTGGCGTCCTGCAGCAGAGACAACCTCAAACCAAGTAGGAGATTCCAGCAGCCATCACCAGCTGGGCATCACAGGTGAGGGAAGCCTACAGTCATTTCTTCTGAAGGTGATCTTGAGCTGTGCTCATACTTGCACAGTAAAGCAGAGATATAAGAGGATGAACTCTGGCATCAGATCTGGGTTTAAGTTAAGTCGCTGTTCTCCCTCTTTTTTAACTACAGAGCCTTAAGAAGTTGCTTCACACCTCCCATGTCCTAGTGTACGTGAAAGCAGGGAAATATTAATAACTGTCTCTCATGAGGTGACTCTCAGAAATAAATGAAGATCTGCATATAAAACACTTAGCACATACGCTGACTATGTAAACCTAGAGTAACCTCTTAATAAAGGTTAAGTTAGCATTATTTCTAGTAAGAAAAAGAATTAAGTAGCATATAGTTCTATAGTAGCCCATGTATGTGATGAGGCTAAAGGAATAAGATTGATGTGTTTAAAATAATAAAATTAAACCCCACAACATAAATATAGTCATGTACCACATGATGATGTTTTGGTCAATGACAGACCACATATGACAGTGGCCCCGTAAGATTATAATGCCATATTTTGACTGTACCTTTTCTATGTTTAGACATGTTTATATACACAAATACTTAACACTGTGTTACAGTTGCCTACAGAATTCAGTACAGTGACATGCCATACAGGTTTGTAGCCTAGCAGCGAGCCATAGGTCATACCATATAGCCTAGGTGTGCAGTAGGCTAGACCATCTAGCTTTGTGTAAGTTCACTCTATCATGTTCACATGATGATGAAATCACCTGACAATGAATTTCTCAGACACATCCCTGTTGTCGAGCGACACATGACAGTATATAGTAGGTACTTCTGCCTTCTATCATAGTGGTTAACATATTTGTATTCCCATGGTGCCTACCTTATTACTTTGTGATAGTAAGTATTTAATAAATGTGGCTTCACTCTTGCTTTCTGCTTCAGAGCCAGCTGAGGCCCCATTTCTCCTACAAGCTTAGACACTCCACGTATGTCCTCAGGATGAGTTTCAACTTGCAGATACCCTGAGTTCCCTCACCCATGATGTCCTGATGGCTAGCGTTGGACACTCACCCTCTTTATTGTCTAGAAAGAACATACAGGGAACATATACCAAGGCTTTCAGATTTAGCAGTCCTAGGAAAATTGTGGAGATCTCTAATTTTCTAGAGTCTGTTATTAATGGGGCCTGACACAAAGCATTTGCTTAATTAAGAGAAGCTATTTCTTATTAACAAAATGCATATATAGCTATGTGGTAGCAAATCGTAAGTATAATCAGCTTTTTTTTAATTTTTCTGTCTGTATTTGTTTGCTAATTATTAGTGAGAATGGATACCAATGGTTTAAAGACATTGCAGGATAAAAGCTTGAAGAAGGTTTTTCTGCAAATGGGGAAAAATCCTCTGTAATGTTCTATTTTAGGGTTTATGTACCAGGATTCAAGGGAAGTATCATTTAACCCCATTTTGTGAGATCTTTTGAAATATGAAACATAGGCAGAAACATTCTGTGATTTGAAGTAAAAGATGAAAAGTTAACTAATATTTTATAAAATTTGTACAGAGGGCAAATAAGATTGTCGTTTACATTCCAAGTTTAATATTAGGTTATTAAGTATGAAATTTCCAGTTTCCTTAAGTACTTAGTTTAACAATTGATACCTCTGACATTCCACTTTGACAGTTTTTGCTTTATTTTTATTGTGAAGGTACACTCTCAGTCTTTCAAATACACGTTTTGGCTTGTGATTATCTTTCACATTGTTTTTTAGAGCAATTTTTGTGAAACCATGGATAAGTCAGAAATTTGTGTTAATTTCAAATGCGTTCTTTCATGGAACCAACGCAGTGCAGACAGGTTGAAATATCACAAAGTGTTGGGGAAGGATGTGGCTTATGTTTGAGAAGTTCCATTCTGGTGATTTTAATCTTGAAAATGAGCCACGTGGGCAACCTGAGACCAAGGTGGATAATGGTGAGCTGAAAGCTGTAGTGGAAGTGAATCCATCTCAACCTACGTCTGAATTAGCAGCAAGGTGTGATGTTACTATTCCAACAACATTGGACCATTTGAAACAAATCGGCAAGGTAAAGAAGCTGGATAGATGGGTTCCATGTGAATTAAAGAGCATCAGAAGAGAAATCATCTGGAAGCTTGCCTTTCTTTGCTGTCACAACATAAAGGCGATCTATTTCTATACTGTATTGTTACGTGTGATGAAAAATGAATTCTTTTTGACAACTGCAAGCATTCAGCACAATGGTTGGATAAAGATGAAGTGCTGAAACTCAGTCCAAAACCAAATATTTATCAAAAACTCATGGTGTCTGTTTGATGGTCCAGTGCTGGTATTGTCCACTATGGCTTCATGAAACCTGTTCAATTGATTACAGCAGATCTCTACTGCAACTAATTGGACAAAATGATGAGGATGCTTGCAATTAAGCAGCTGAGATTGGTAGACAGAAACAGGCCAGTCCTCTTGCAAGACAACACTCTACCACATGTCACACAAACAACGCTGCTCAAACTACAGAGGCTGGACTTGGACTCTCTCTGTCATCCACTATATTCACCAGACCTTGCCCCAATTGACTACCCAACTTCTTCCAGGCTTTGGACCACTTCTTGCAAGGAAAAATATTCAATTCTCAACAAGCTGTGGAAAATGCCTTTCACAATTTCATCTCCCCTCGCTCTCATAGCTTCTTTGCTGTTGGCATAAACAAGCTACTATTAGGATGGCAAAACTGTGTCGATAGTTTACGCACATACTTTGATTAATTGTACTGTTTCTTATTTGAGATATAATAAACTGCACTTTTGATTTGAAATCAGACATTTCATATTTAATGACCTAATATTATAAGTTCAGTATATCTATGAGAAGATTTTTAGATTGCAAAATTTAAAGGTATATTTTAAATTTTAATTTACGGATTTTTTTTAGTATATCAAGCTACTCTATAGGGTAAAGTTGTTACATAGATTTAAAACTTTAAAGTTTAATATTTTGTGTGTTTGAAAACTTTGGTTACAAGTAATAGAAAATCTGTTCCCTTAAATCCTAAAGGACGGTATTGGCTCATGTAACTGAAAGGGCCCAGATGGACTCTAAGATCAGGCACAGCTCATGAGGGCTCAAGCTGTAGCCAGAAACAGTAGAACTGTGGCGGTTTTAGGCTTCACATCTGCACATATCAATGTCCAAAGGGAGAGAGACACCATTGCTTTTGGTGGCAGTAGTTTAAGAATGAGGAAATATGTTGCCTCAGAGCCCAAGCTTTTTTATGTTATTCTAATGGCCCAAAGTGGGCCCTGTGCCCATTCTTGAGCCAGTCTCTTTGATGAGGAAATGCCATGTACTGACTGGCTTAGCCCTGGTTTCTTTCTGATCAGTGGGTCAGCTTCCCTTGAACATAAGGGCTGAATGGGAGAGGGGTGTTAGGTGAATGAATGTCGAGGTTCCCTTAGGAAGGGGGAAATAGATTCCGAGCAGGGAGTCAGCCATGTTCGCTGCAAGATAATAAGAATAGTTCTGTAATTCTGGTAATGAACAGTTGGTGCTCTTTGATTACAGATAACAGAAAGCCCAACTCTTGATGCCTTAGGCAAAAAGCCATTTATGGGCACTTACTGTGGGCAAGTCCACAGAGTAGAGTAGTTGCAGGGATGGCTGGATGCAGGATTCAGAGACTCTTCGGCTTTCCATCCCAGCCTCTCCCTTGCTCTGTTGGCCCCATTCTTAAGACACACTCTCCCTTTTTATCACAAGATGGCAAAATAGCTTCTCCTTTTAGCCTCAAATTCCATGGGAAAGAGCAAGAATTACTTTACAAGAATCTGTCACAAAAATCTTACTGGCTCTCATAGGCCCATCCCTGACCAATCCCTTAGATTATTGGCCATGGGACTATAATGTGCTAATTAATAAAATGAAAATTATCCCAAAGGGTAAGGTTCAGGTGGGCTTTGCGTTACCTAAACCACAGGAGCAGAGAGTGGAAGAGGTGTGATTTCCCAAGGAAATTTGGGGTGCTGGATAGATGTCCACTTCAGATTTTAAGAGGTTTGTTTATTCATGATTTATGAGATAGTTATTGAGCCAAACACTGTAGATGTTTGTGTACCCATTTCATCGACCAAGTCTGTCATGCTACAGCTTCACTGAGGGTCTAAAGTCCGCTGTACAGCTGTAAGAGTGCTACTTGAGGCAGCATGGATTGAGATGACAGAAGACACTGAGGCTTGCTAGTTCAAATGAACAGCCATTTTTGAGACCCTGCCTCTCGTCATGGAGTGTCACCTGTGTCTTGGTATCCTTGTTTGGCTTGATTCTCTCCATCTCCGAGGTGATTCTGTCCTCTGTTAGTATGTCCAGAATCCCAGTAAAGAAAAGAAGACATGCCAATATGGATAAAAATGACAGAACTACCTGCATTTTGTTTTCTAATTTGAAAATAATAATGTCATAATTATATGATTATTTTTACTTAGAGCCAATTTATCTTTTTAATTTGTCTACAAAATTTTGTTTCCTTTAGACGTTAGCTCTGGTTAATTTGCAATAGAAGATTTACTTATAGCTGTAATTAAGATTTTGTAGAGGTGCTTATATGAATTTTTCCTCTCTCTCTTTTTTTTGGGGGTCCCATAGATGAAAAAATGTTTAAAGCCCTTAAAGAAGAAGGAAATCAGTATGTAAAGGACAAAAACTATAAAGGTGCCCTTAGTAAATACAGTGAATGCTTAAAGATTAACAAGAAGGAATGTGCTATATATACAAACAGGCAAGTTCTTTGTAACTGTATGTATTTCTTATGTTAATAGTTTTGATTATTAAAAATCATTTATAATAAATTAATAAAATTGTTTAATTGCCAAAGATATTTGTTGTGGTTCTAGGAGTTTATATAGCAAGTTGTCGTAAGTGAGTGTTTCTGACAGAGGTCGGGCCGTGGGAGTTCTGGAGGGATCAGAAACATGAGGTACGGGAGAGAGGGAGGTTTGGTGTAGTTTTGTCACCAGGTTGCTGCTCTGATTCAGCATTTCCTGGCTGTGTGGCCTCGCTGCCGCTAGCTGGGCCTGGGCACTGTCCAACACGGGAGGAGCAGGAGCCGATGCCCTTTCAAAATAGTGTCTTACACAGCAATGCCTTGCTGCTTCTGAAGTGCTGAGGGAAGGGACCAGCATGTTCTATAGCGTGCAGTAGGAATGGGCAGATTGTTCTGGAATGCTGCTCGGGTGCCATCTTTAACACATATGGTAACAGATACCTATATAGAATATGGTGATAGAGTAATGGCAATGTTTTTGCCAGAAATGTCACTAAATCCAAGAGATATTTTTCTGTCCTTCTCCTGTTCAACCTCTGCAGGGTGAGGTATTAGCCACTCAATTTTCCCTGAAGACTCCTTCTCTCCTTGGCTGCAGTGGCAGAGAACTCATTGCCTGGTTCTCCTCTTCTCCCCCTGTAGGCTTTTCTTTCCCTGGTATTCTCAGAGTTCTGAAGGTCTAGATCCCTTTTTTGTTTCACATACTCTCAGGGCCATTCCATCCTTTCCCCAGCTCCATTTACCACCTTACAGTGATGTCTCCCAAATCTCTGAGTTCCACACCCAAATGCTCCCTTCTCTTCTGCACTCAGGGCTGGTTATCATCCCTGACCAACACCTCCCGCACCCTGACCTCCCTCTTCCAGTCAGCAAGCTTGGGTGGTCCTACCTTAGAAATCCCTCTTTAGTGTGACCCTTTCTGTGTACCCCCACTGTTACGCCCCTGCTCTGGGCCACTGGCATCTCCCAGACGTCTGCAGCACCCTCCATGGTGTCCCTGCACAGCCTTGCTCCTTCTCATCTCCTCCTCCCAGTTGCAGCTAGAGTGATCTGTCTAGAACATGGGGAACAAGTCAGCCCCTATTCAAAACCCTTCAGCGGACTTCTGTTAGACTCAGGATAAAGTTCAGCCTCCTTGTCATGATTTACAAGGCCCTTCGTGATCTGGCTTGCCCACTCTTCCAGCTTCATCCCGGGGCTCCAGCCCTACAGAACTTTTCTTAATTCATCAAGAGCACCATGTTCTCTCTCACCATAGGTCCGTGCTCTTGGCCTCCACTCCCCCCATCTCCATCTTACCCTCTCGACCCAGTGCCTTTGCATTGGATATTTCTCACTCCACACTCGGGTTTCAACTTAAATGTTACTTCTTTTGGGAGGTCTTCCCTGACTGCTCTGCCTCTTGCCTTGGTCCCCCTGGATCTGGTGTGGTTCTGAGCTATGTGCTCCCAGAGCACCTTGTACAGATTTTACTGTGTGTGCTTGTTTTAATGGTCTATCTCCTCCACCGTACTGTATCCTCCTTGGGGGGTGGGACTGCATATTGTTTGCAGTTATACCCCCAGTGCTATAATTTCATGTACTGCAAGAGAGTGCCATAATTGGAATCAAATGTTAAGTTTCAATTGAAACAGCTGTAGTATAGAAACAGACTTATTGAGTTATTTTCTGATTTTTCTTAGTTGTCTAAATTTCGAGACATGCTGTCTTTACCTTTTTTAATACTGAGTTCCATTACATTATACCAGAGCTCTCTGTTACTTGAAGCTGCGCCAGTTCGAAGAGGCAAAGCAGGACTGTGACCAGGCGCTTCAGATAGATGATGGGAACGTGAAAGCATGGTATAGACGAGCTCTGGCTCACAAAGGACTCAAGGTGAGAAAATCTCCATTTTAATGTGTAAATTTTAGTGCTGAACAAATCAAGTGGTTTTCATGAACATAAATCATGATCATGGAATGGGAGTGAGATTATCCTGGAATTTAGTCTTAGTGCTATACTAATTGGAATAGGCCTCAGCTTTCACCCCTAATTATAACATGGAACTGGATAATTTTTAAGATTCCTTCCAGCTAAAAATTATGATTTATTCTCTAATTTTCCAAGGAGTATTAGGAGTATTGTTAGTTATAATAGGTTCACTTTAAGGGACAGGAAGTTTTGTTACTGAATTACTGAAAGCTCCTGGCAGTGCTGCTGGTTCCTCTAGCAAGGATTGGGGTTGGAGGTGGAGTGGGGGAAGGCATCACATTGGAAGATGGATCACCCAGTGGAAGTTGGTAGCAACATATCAGAGATTTGAAAGCTTGTAGTGATCTAGGCCTTGAGCTGGCTGATGATCGGTGTGAGACTATAGAATGGCATTCTTCTCCAAGAAAACCACACTGTTAGTTTACAAGAAAGAAGGTACTGTATAATTACACTTTTCTTTATGTAGATTCCTCTGCATGAAAATCTTGACTGAATGTTCACATATGTAGAAAATAACATCACAAGGAAAAACCAGAACATATTAGAAAATGGCATTTACTAGTATTTTTTTTTTTTTGAGACACAGTCTTGCTCTGTCACCCCCGGTAGAGTACAGTGGCCTCATCATAGCTCACTGCAACCTCAAACTCCTGGGCTCAAGCGATGCTCCTGCCTCAGTCTCCCGAGTAGCTGAGACTACAGGTGCCTGCCATGATAGCCAGCTAATTTTTCTATTTTTAGTAGAGACAGGGTCTTGGTCTTGCTCAGGCCGGTCTTCAACTCCTGAGCTCAAGCAATCCTCTCTGCTTTGGCCTCCCAGGTTTTGTAAAAAAGAAAATTATTAAGGTCTAACACAACGAAATTCACACATTGTGAGTATGCAGGTCATTGACTTTTGATATATCTTCTTATAGCTACCATCCCAATCAAGATCAGAAACATTTCTATCTCTCTAGAAAGTTCCCTGTGCCCCTTTGAAATCAACCCCTAACCCCAGGCAACCATTGATCTAATTTCTCTCACTGTAGACTAGTTTGGCTTCTTTTTGACATCACGATAAATATAATCATATAAAAGGTAGTCTACTCTTTGGCTTATTTCACTCAGCATAAACTGACATTCATCCATATTGTGTGAGTATCAGGAATTGTTCCTCTATATCACTGAGTTGTATGACTACCACAATTTGTTTATATATTCACCAATTGATGCCACTTAGGTTGTTTCCAGTTTGGGGCTGTTATGAATAGAGCTACTGTACATTCTTGTGCACATGTTTTATGGATTTGCTCACAAACTGTACAGCCAGATGTGGGGGGAGTGGGGGTGCAGCTTGGCGGGCCATGCTGAGGAGGCTGTGCTTGACCCTGAGGGTGATGGGAGCCCCTGAGGGGGTAAATGGTGGCATGATGGGTTAGATTTGGGGACAACATGGAAGGTGGGTCAGAGGGGCCCAGCATGGAGTAGGAAGATAAGTGAGAGTCCACCAAGGTGAGAAGCAGATGCCTGAAGGAAGGTAATGGCTGAGGGAAGAGAGAAGATATATTAATTTGCTAATAACAAAGTGCCACAGACTTGGTGGCCTATACACCAGAAATTTATTTTCTCATAATTCTGGAGGCTGGAAGTCTGAGATCAAGGTGTCCACAGGGTTGGTTTCTTCTGGCATATAGATGGATATCTTCTCCCTGTGCCTTCACGTGGTCTTCCCTGTGTGTGTGTCTGTGCCCAAATGCCCTCTTCTTATTAATATAAAGTACCAGTCATATTGGATTAGGGCCCAACCCTAATGAACTACTAATAATTTTACCTTGGTTACCTCTTTAAAGATCCTATCTCCAAATATGGTTACATTCTGAGGTACTGAGGGTTAGAACTTCAACATACGAATTTCTGAGGGATACAGTTTAGCCTATACCAGAACGTGAGGGGTTATTTCAAGGTTGGCTAATAGTAAAATTGACAGGACATAGTGAGCAGTAAAATGTCTGGGGGAAGGAATGAAGGGGATGCCTCCCAGGGTCCCAGCTGGGGTGGCTGAGTGGAGCAGTGCGGTAATGGTGGGTTACAGGGGTTGGGGACAAGTTTAGGGATGGGAAGAGGTATAGTTTTGTCCTAATGAGTTTGAGATAGTTCTTTTATTCCTTGCCCATCACTGACAGAAAAATGTCTAGGTTTTCAATCGGAGGTAGTGCTCATGTTGTTGCATAGTATTAATATATGTCAAATGGGGACAATCTGTGTGCACTGAGTGATCAGGCTTTTCTACATCACAGGCCCACTCAGGCTGCAGTGGAGCCATGCCTGCACTTCTTGCCATGACACAGACACGCCATATGACCCCCACGCCGGTGGAGCCATGCAGCCACGCCGTATTTACAGTGTCCGTGTGACTCTAACACTCCCCACTCCTCCCATCTTTATTTTGTTAGCAACACGCTCATTTGTAACGCTCATGTAAAGATTTCCTAGACGGTGTGTGGCACCACGAATTAAGAAATCTTCTTCAAAATTTACTTGACTCTTAGAGTGTGATGGATTTGGGTAAATGAGGGTAGATCTGCATGACTCGTGAGTTTATATACGTCTAAACTCTTAGAGCAGGTTTACCTCATACTGGCTGCCCGACTCTTTGAACCTGGTTAGCTGACTGAAAGTCAGAAGCTGTACCTAATGAAAGACTTGAATTTTATACTTCCTTGGAGTGAATTCTAGAAATTGTATTATGATGCAGAAAAATATTCCCAAATTTGAGTAATCCTATCCCACTAGATTATGAGGCTGGTACCTTGTTTTTCTGGTTTGGTTTTTTTATAGCTTGATTTGTATGTCCGGTAGTTTAGGGTATGTGCCAAGTGGATTTAATTTACGGATCTTCAAAGGCTACAACTCCTTACACAATGTGTCAGAACTCAGGCCTGGATGCATTTGCTCAGCATGGCTGTAATGAGGACATGGCGCAGGGCTCACAGTTTGGAGCAGGTGCCCTGCCTTTAGCTCCCAGCTGAACACTTTGCTTTCCTCAGATCTTTTGTTTGTTTTCTAACTGACTTTAATGGTGGGTTTTGGTTTTTTTTTTATTTTTGGTGCCAGTTTGGAAAACTATAGGCGTTCTTTAATGTTCAGCTATTCTTCACAAGAAAAGATCACTGAACATTTTGTTTTATTTATAATTTATTTCTCTTATTGAGTGCCAGTTACATGCTAGGTGTTGGGAGTATAGAGGTGAATAAGACATGGTGCCTATTTAAGGAATTTACAACCAATAGGGGATGCTACAAGGCCAAAAATATCAAAAATTATTATGTATCAGTAAAAATATAAAAAAGAATATCTTATAATTGCTTTTATAGTTTGAGCACATCTGTTAATAGGAAATATTATCACAAACACATGTGATTATACTATTTATAGTATATCATTTCTTAAAGGCCTGATGAGGTTGTTAGAAACTTCTAATGTCCTCCTTTTTGCCAAAGCTACACTTTCTCTTTGTATAAGCTCTGCTTTTCCCTTCACTCTGCATGGCTGGTTTCTCACTTCTCTGACAACTTTGGCAAAAGGAGACGCCTCCCTCGTTTGTATCTGGCTCAACCTTTTGTTCTTAATTGCATCAATGACAATTCATAATTATTCATTTGTTTACACTTTTTTTTATTGCTTCCCCTCACAGGACATAAGCTTCCATAAAGGGGAAGGCCCAAGTCTGTCTTTTCTGCCATGGTCTTCCCAGCTCGCAGCACACGGAAGTGCTCAGTGACCATTTGTGAAGTGATGAACCTGGCCCCTTTTCTCTCACCGCCTCCTTGCTGTGCCCGCCCTTCCTGCTGTCCTGGCCTCTCTTTACATTTGTCTGCCTTTGTTAACACTTCTTTATCAAAGTGTATTTCCTGTTTTCTTATGTCTCCTCCAACCAGGCAGGTCGCTCTTTAAACAGAGACTTTCTTGAATACATGAAAATGATCATATTGACTCCTGTGACGTTGGACTTTCACTTCCAAGGCCGTAGCCCACAGATCTCTATTTTCAGCCCTTCCCCCTGATGTGTATTACCATCCACCTTCTGGTCATTGCTGCTGGGATCATCCCAAAGATAATTTCTTTAGGCCTCAGTTTATTCATTTTTAAAATGGGAACAATAAAAGTTAATATTTATAGAGCTATTGCAAGAGTAAAGTAATACCTGTAAAATGCTTAGCATGGTAAGAGTTAGCTTTTATTACCCCCTCAACTTGCCCTCCTGCGCCACTCCCTTGCCTTTCCCATATGGTCCCCTGCCTAGAACACTTAGGATATAAATACGGTGTCATTTTTTTCCCCTGGAAGTTTCCAACTGCTGTTGTAAGACAGTGGTATGTGGAGATTTGTTACCAATAATACATAATGTACTATAATTTGTAAATAATTTACCTTTTTTATAAATTAGAGCAGATTTAAGGTTATCCCTTTAAACATGTCACTCTTGCTCTGGTGATGCTGTGCGGGGAGGAGGAAGGGATATGGCATTACAGTTCGTCCCCCGGATGTCACCTGACCACTAGCTTAGCTTATCTGTGGCTCAGCCTTCAGCACAGGCTGTTACTGAGGTGACACAAATACTTAAAGACGTTACACATCTTTGCAATTCTTTGCTCCCTTTGGTTTAATCAAAATATAGGTGTAGTCTATAGTTTCTAGTACATGGCTTGTTACCATAAACTGATTTTATATAGTATCTGTCTCTGCTGCCATATTCAGTGGCCTTGTCTTGTTAATCTTAGATTCCCTTTTTCCCCCTTAATTCCTCCCATGTATTGTCTCTTATAGAAGATTAAATATTGACTCTAGCCTATTTTGAAGAGTAAACAACTCTGACGGGTTTTACAGAACAAAAGTAATATAATTACCATTTGCATAGTTTTTTTATAGATTTAAACCATAATTTATTCCTTTATTCCTTGGTATAACCTTGTGAAAATTTGGATAGAGTTTTTATTCTTATTTTAGACATAACAAGTCTGAAGCCCAGAAAGGTTAAGTAGGATCTTGTTTGTTTCACTGCTAGTACGTGCAAATATAAAGATGTTCATTCTTTCATTTATTCATTCAACAAACAAGTGCCTACCATGTTTTAAGGACTGGGAATTTGTGGTGATACAGAATTGCACTTGAGTTTTCTAATTCTGGATTCGGTGCTCTTTCTTCTATCATGCATGTTCACGGTGTTTTGGGTTATAATATGGGTTAGCATACTCACCCATTAGGCACATTTCATAAGAGTGGTACTAATACGGACCCCCTGCACACACCCTGCACAACTCACTTCATCACTCTCAGGCTAATCCATGCCTCTTATTTATGAAAATTATTTTCTCTGTCTTCTTGCTTAACAGAATTATCAGAAAAGCTTAACTGATCTCAATAAAGTTCTCCTACTAGACCCAAATATTGCTGAGGCAAAGATGGAACTGGAAGAGATAACCAGATTCCTTAATATTAAGGATAATACAGCATCATTCAACAAAGAAAAGGAGAGAAGGAAAATTGAGATTCAAGAGGTATTTTTATTTGATTATCTTTGAAAGTATTTTGGGGATTTTAGACTGGATTCTTAAGGTTATATTCACTATGCTTTAAAAAACTTTAAAATATTTTAAGTTTTGTTTGTATTCTGATGATTAATGAAAAAATTTTATCCAGTTATAAAGACAAAATTTCTCCTTTGCAGTGCTAATTAGTCATTGTATTTCCCAATGTGAGTCTGTGGATGGTACTCAGAGTCCCTGCATTACTGAAGCTCTTCCTTTCTTTGCCACCCACCTCCCCCGCCCCGGCCTGTGACTATACTGTTCCCACTGCAGAGAGAACTGAGAGCCTGTGGCCACTGAGCTTTGTTTCAGAGTAGACCTGGAGAGTCCTGACAGGACTGATTGAGTTTCAGGGGCCCCACAAGCCACACCCCATGGGATTTTCCAGATTGACTCAGACCTCTTTAGCACTCTGAAGTAAGACTGCCCCATCGGAGATCTTGGACTACCTCAGGATCAAACCTGCCTTTGTGATTTCAGATAACTCAGATGTTTTGCTTTAGTGAAGAATGTCAGGCTGTAATTCCTGTACATTCATGAAGGCTAATATCATCCCATTTATAATCTTACATTTCCACTATGAGTAAGAGGCTACTATGTGAGAGAAGCTAGGAAGTTTTTTACCTTTAAAGGAAGAAAAAGCTGTTTTAAGAGAATTGAAAAATGTAAGCTCACTTATTGGCTAAAAAAAGATAAAATTGTTGTTGGTGTTTATTTTACATAAAAGTTTTATTCATGGAAAGTTCTAAAAATAAAATTTTATTGTCATAGTTTCAATGTCAAATGGTTTTTTAAAACTTCACAGAATACTTTCATGAACTGGATTCTTATACTTTAAAACTTCTCTTCCTAAAACATTATAGGTTTTACAGTTTATTACAACTTACAGATTTTTCACATAGAACTTGACTAACATACAGTCTATTTGAGGTTTTCAATTCCCGTTTTGAGCAATGTAACTCAGGATGTGTGTGGTGACTATTGTTCAGTGTCACAGTGTATCTTGTTTTCCTCACAAAGGTGAACGAAAACAATGAAGAGGAGCCTGAAAGACCCTCAGAGGAGGTCTCCGCTGACTGCCTTGCTTCTGAGAAGGGAGACAAAAGCAACTGGCCGCCAGAATACTCTGAGAAACTTCAGATCTCCAAGCCTAATAATGCCTATGAATTTGGTCAGGTTATAAACGCTATCAATACTAGGAAAGATAAAGAAGCCTGTGCACACCTTTTAGCCATCACTGCACCAGAAGATTTGCCAGTGTTGTTGAGTAACAAACTTGAAGGGGATACATTCCTCCTCCTCATTCAGTCTCTGAAAAATGATCTTATTGCTAAAGATCCTTCATTGGTGTATCAGTATCTTTTATATCTGAGTAAAGCAGAAAGGTTTAAGGTGAGTGAAAAGTATTTTATTAACAGAGATTGATTTTTTAAGGGTTTCTGTAACTTAATGTTATTTATACTAATATGTTTTCCCTTCTTTCAGATGATGTTGACACTAATTAGCAAGGGCCAAAAGGAGCAAATTGAACAGCTATTTGATGACCTTTCAGACACACCCAACAACCATTTTACTTCAGAAGACATACAGGCCCTAAAAAGGCAGTATGAGCTTTAAATCAAGATTTTTCTTCCATGCATGTATGTGTTCCAGTAATGCTAATGAAATGGTATTGTATTAGAGTTGCATGGATAAAATCTGGCTGAGAAAAGATCCCTTGGTCTGGACTATAAAACATTTTACTTATTTTTATAAACAGAACATGTATATTCTATGATCTGCTTTTTATTAGTTGTAAATATTTTCTTATGTACCAGAGCCAACATCTTTATATTTAATAAGTATATTTGGAACTTGTTAAAAATACATTTTAATTTATAGTATACATTTTCTTTTAATAACTCACCTGTTGAAAATTTGAGTTAAATTGCATTTCTTTGAGCTATGGTGTCCTCTTAAGTTTGACTGAAATGAATTTCTTTGTAGTTCTTTTTTTGTGAAAGTCATTAACAGTGATTATTACATCACCTTACATCCGCTGAGATAGACATAAATCTCATTTTATACTAGTACCTGTGGATTAGTCAATTAAAATGAAATGTAACACTGAACTCTATAACATGAAATGATTATTAAATTGTGTTTATTTAGAGCTATAAGAGGAACTTTTCTAGTATGCCTAATAATTAAGAACAAAAATTGCCAAAAATTTGTACCACTTTTTACTAGATTTCTAAAACCCACTTTCCCTTATATGTTGCTTATATAAGTAAAAACAACCAACCATTATATAAAAGCAAACTAAGCCTGCATTTATATTTGAATTGTCATTCCTATATTTTCCCCAAACATTTAAATGTCTCCCTCCTCCTCTTCTGTTTTCTGCTGTCATGACTATATTTATTCTTTCACTGTAAAAGGGAAGTGAAGAACTCTTATCATATTGAAAGCTCCTTTGTTAACTGAGTCAAAGTAAAGGTATTTTGGTCTCTGTCAGTATACTGTTATTTATTCCTGCAGTCTATTGTCAATGCCCTTCTTCTGGCACATTTTCTTGTTCATTTAGAAGTGAAGATGGAAGGCTAATAACACTTTTATTATTTTCATGTTTATTATTTTATCTAATCTTATAATTACAGAATACTTTCAAAATCATCATGGGTAAAGGATACCTTTCAAACTGTGCCATTTCTCTTCTAAACTGTTCCTTCCTTCATAAGTGAAAATCTACTATAATGGGTACTTAACTCTAGTCTTCATATAAACAAATAGGTTTCTCCTTTTTAATGTTATTAAATTTTTGTAAAAGTAAATGATGGCTTTTGTTAGAACTGTACAAAGTTTATTTATAGACACAGGATCACTGTTTTCCTATACATAGCAACTTGAGATTGAGAGTAACTTTAGAGACACAGAAAGGAAACTTTTTCTTTTGCTGACAGTTACATACTCAGCACCTTGCACAGTCCTGATATAGTGACATTAATAACTGTAGGTGATATTTTTTGAGCTTAGTACTAGGCACTCTGCATAGTTTATTGCACATTGTCTAATTTAATCCTAATAATAACTCTGTTATAGGTCAGGAAAAACCAGCACAGAGAAGGTGTGTAAATTAACAAGGACTACAGATGTTGCAAGTGGTCCATCCAAGATCCCAATCTGTGCAATCTGCCTTTTGAACTCATATACTCTGTGCTGTGTAATGGAAAATATTAAATATATGAATGGAATAATGGGTAAGGTACCTGGCCTTTAAGAGTTACAGATTATTGGCCGGGCGCAGTGGCTCACACCTATAATCCCAGCGTTTTGGGAGGCTGAGGTGGTGGGGGGATGGCAAGAATTCGAGACCAGCCTGGGCAATGTAGTGAGACCCCATCTCTACAAAAAAGTTAGAAAATTAGCCAGGTGTGGTGGCACACCTGTAGTCCCAGCTACTTGGGAGGCTGAGGCAGGATGATCACTTGAGCCCAAGAGTTTGAGGCTGCAGCAAGCTATGATCGCACCACTGCACTCCAGCCTGGCTGAAAGAGTGAGACCCTGTCTCTGAAAAAAAAAAAAAGAATTACAGATTAGTGAATGGATATGTAAATTGTACACTAATAGATCTGTCTACAGTGACAACACAAAAGCAGGAGTGCCCAGGCCTGCCTGTGAGAGGGTTAGGAAAGGTTTCAAGAGGGAAGTAATGCCACAGCTTGAGTTTGCCACATGGACAAGAGAAAAGGACGTGCCAGGCAGAGAAAACAAAATGCAAGTGCATCAAGGTGCATATTCAAGGTGAAGGTTGAATGAAGGTGTGAATAACTTGGCACATTCAGGAAACTACATGTAATCTTAATATTAATGGAACATAGGGTTTGTGTGATAGCTAGAACAGAAAGTTGCATGCCACATATAAAATGGCAGTTTTAATTATACAAGTAGTTCCTTTGTGAGTCAGGCATTACCACTCTTCACTAATAACCAGATTTTCTTCCCCTTCTTACTTCTACTTTTTAGCTTCTTTGTGATTGAGGCCACGTGCCCAACTCTGTCAACAGAGTTTAGGTAGGAATGATGTGTCACTTCTGAGCCAAAGTATGAAAGACCTGGCACAGAACCCTCCCTGGTCTTTTCCCCTTGCTACACTGACTGAGAAGGCCTCATGTTCCAGACGGTGCAGTTACAAGATAATGGCACCTCCATCAGCCTGGTTCTTTGAATGTTGCTTTGAAGCAGAGTCCTGCCAGTCTGCATTGGATATACAGCATGAACAAGCTTATGCTTTCTTCCATGGAGACTCTGGATTGTTTGTTAACTATGTCCAAGGACTTAACCTCTCATAGTCTGTTTCCACATCTGTCCTACTTCAGCCCTTAAATCTTTCCTGACCTTCAACCTGTAAAACAGAGTTTAAACTGTTCATCTCAACACGGATGTCTCACACATATTTCAAATATAGTATGCCCTAAATAGAACTTTTGTTCTCTCAAACTCAGGCTTCACTTATCCCAAAGCTCAGTGAAAGATACCAGCATTCACACACTGGCCTAAGAAACCTAGGCTTCATCCTAAACCTCACATCTACTATTTCATCCAGACAAACTGTATATTATGCAAACATGGCACACTCACCCAAGATTAACTGCTTTTGCACAGGATATCTTACCACATAGTTTTGGTGTTCTTGAGTTTACTTATCAGACAGAAGATGTCTGGTTCAATTCTGTTTCCCATATTGCTCAGCAAAATGCCTGGTGCAACAAATGCCATAAATATTTGTTGAATAAAAGAGAAATCTTAGTAATTTTACACTTTTGGGTACATACATAAAGTATTTCAGCGGACTGTTAGCACTTGTTATATCTAGTTGGTTTGCTGTAAATCATGCATCTGGAAGTAGAAAAGTCTCAAGCATAATTCTATACAGAGTGTGGTTTATCATCAAAGCTTAACTCATGCCTTAGGGACCTTATAACCAAAGTTTCTAGACAAAAGGGTAAAAGACAATATTAAAACAGAAAAGGAAGAGAAAGAAACTAAAGGCTCTGAAAACTATGTGAGTTATTGACTAAAACACCTGAGCAAATCACAATCACTCTGGGCTTAAATTTGCTTATTTTTAAATGATTAGTAAATATCATCTGGGCTGACATGTTTATTGTAAAATAACATGAAAATATTTTCTAAGCTGTGTACAATATAAGAACCTATCATTACTATTTTTGGCTCATGGACACTATGAAAGTTCCCCATATACAGAACTTGAATCTAGTTATTTTCATATTCGAAAATAACGCAAATTTTTGACTTATCCATGGTTTCACAAAAGTGCTCTAAAAAAATGTGAAAGATAATCACAAGCCAAAATGTGCACTTGAAAGACTGAGGATGTACCTTCACAATAAAAATAAAATGAAGCGTTAAAGTGAAATGTCAGAGATTATCAACTGTTAAACTTAGTACTTAAGGAAATTGGACATTTCATACTTAATAACCTAATATGTTGAGTGCAAAGAGATATTAAGCATGAGTTATAGCAGAACATGACATTAAAATGATTTCAAATATATTTTCTTACAGTTGTTTTCCTGATACATTATGGGTTTTGCTATCTAGGAACAGGATGGAGTAAAGTATGTTCACTTAGAATTTGTTTTACTTTTTTCCTGTTGGCCTATAGGCACCACTCAGACCAAAAGGACCCCTAAAGACTGATGTGCAAGTCACGGAATCCTGCCTCTCTGACTTCTCTAACCAAGGGATGTCTGTGAGGCGAAATCTCTGGCTCCAGAATAGAGTGAATTGTTGTCAAGTTTATAGGTTTTGATGCCTTAGGCCAAAAATCAAATAAAAGAGGTGGTTGAAGGTGAACTGATGGCAGAACAATCAATGAAAAACAAGCAAGAGACAAGAGTATAACTCCTGGCAACTGCCTTCTCTCTTTCTCTGGGAAGCTGCTTAAGAGCATAGACTTTGGCATCAGATAAACCTGGAATCAAATCCCAGCTCTACTTAGGAGCTTTATGACCTGACAGTCTTTAGTTTACTCATCTTCAAAATGGGGATATCTTTCTAGCATTCAGAGTTGTTGTAATTTGTGGTTTATGAAAAATGCCTGGTGGTTCTTAATAAGTACCTTATCTTTTTTTCAATGTGTACACTTTCTTCCAGTAAGTGTAATGATCTCACCTATGTTGTTGGAAAGGGTAAGAAAGCTCTTTTCAAATACTATGGACACCTTAACAGCTATTTACTGGATAATAAACACACATTATGACTCCCCACCCCCCGCCCCACAATAGAAATATTAGAGCCAGAGAATTAGCTGGCCTTGGACCTCTGGTGCCATCTTCTGGAAATTAGTTACGTCACAGCAGCCAAGAGATTACTGCACAGGTTGAACTACACAGAGAATCTATTTGTAATAATAAACATCTTTCTTTTTCACCTGTCACTGTTTTGAGGGTGAGCCAACACACACAAACAGCTGTACATTCAGAGTCTGGCATAGGCTGGTTGGTGCTTAGTAAATGCTGAATTAATGAATCTAGAGGACACTGTCCTATTGGTGCTCTTGTTTCCAGAGTTTAGATTAGAGAGTTCCTATTACTGAGAAGCTTTCAATGACACTCTAAATATTTCTCAGTCATTCTTGGAATGTTTGTATAGGGTCACTCGAAAAATCTTACAGTCCAGGGGGTTGGGAAT